AAGCAGCATTAAGGTCTGTGGAAAGAAGGATAGAACTGAGCATATGAGAGGCACCCTGACATGCTGAGGTCCCACAGCAGAGAAAGCAGAATGGACACAGGTCTCTGGGCTCCTGAAGCCTTTCAAAATGATCAACGTGCATTCAATTCTCACTACCAGACTGTCTTGGTAACAGGAAGCATTTCATAAAAGGATAATTGTGGGGGTGAAAGATATTTTAGTAGTTTTGGCACACAGTTCAATGCCTTCCTTTGATCAGCAATTACTGAGTGCCAACTATGTACTACCAAGAATTTAGGCCCTGATGATAAACATATTTTCCTAAACACTTAAAGCATCACCATTTATTTTAAATATTTTTGCAGTGCTGGGGATCATACAACCTAGGCAAATGCTGTCACCAAGCTACACTCCCAGCCTGACATTGTCATTTTAAAGATTCACATTTATTGGAGGTATGATTAAAAAAGAAAACAGCCAGGCATGGTGGCACATACCTATAGTCTCAGCTACTGGGAAGACTGAGACAAGAGGATGGCAAATTCAAGCCAGCCTTGGCAACTTAGCAAGACCCTGTCTCAGAATAAAACAAAACAAAAAAACACCAAATACAACTAATTAAACCAGGTCACACTGGCAATTATAAGACACATCCAGATTTGCAGAGGTCTAGATTGTGGGGAAATGTGCATCTAAGAGTCAATTTTAAAAAGCAGTGAAAAAGAAAAGCCTGTATTCAGGTAGCTTCAATTCTAGGGCACATTATGATAAATACACATCAACACATTATGACAAGCTCTGAAAGGAAAAAGAAAACAAGGGATACAGGGTGAAGGGGACTTCTGGGGGAATCCAGGGAAGACCCCTCTGAGGAACTGATACAAGCAGAGATTTGAGTGGAGAGACGAGCCATGAGTAAACAATGTTCCCAGAAATGCAAAAGATCTGAGAGGGTGATGTCTAGTGGGCTCAAGGACATACAAGGCAAGTGTTGTTGGAAAACAGTCCTTGAGCTGAACAGACAGCTTCCTCAAGCACAGGTAAAAGCAGGGATCCCTGGTCTAGTCAGGAGGTGTGGGAGGCTAGGAAAAGCAATGTGAGGGCAATCAAGAGGGAGGTAGAGAGTCAGCCCGTCTAGATTTGAATCCTCATTCTGCTACTAACAAGCTGTGTAACCTTGGACAAGCTATCTAACTGCGTGAGCCTTAGCTTCCTCGCTGTAAGATGGACATAGTAAAAGGACCTGTTTCACAAGTTAATTAGGAAGATTAAGAGACCACACTTGTAATTAAGACACAAATGAGATCACCCCTATTTTCTACCCTAGTCATTTAAAAAAGTATACCAAGGTGGGGCTGGGGTTGTGGCTCAGTGGTGGAGCGCTTGCCTCTAACATGCAAAGCCCTGGGTTCAATCCTCAGCACCACATAAAAATAAATAAACAAAAAGTATACCAAGGTAAGGAATAAATTGACTTATTTGACCCTTAAAACAAAAGACTACTTTTCTAGATTACCACTATTATGATGGAAACCATATCATTAGGGAAATAAAATTGTTTAAAATTGAACTTGGGCTACAGGTGTAGTTGAGTGTTAGAGCACCTGCCTAGTATACATGAGGCCCTGGGTTTGATCCCTGGCACTGTGGGGAGAAATAAAAAAAAAAAAAAAAAAAAAAGACTTTGAACTTGCCTTCTCCAAAGTTGTATTTAAGATAAAAAAAATTATCCTAAAAATGTAGAAAAATAAAAGATCATCCTAAATAAGCTGACTGTTTTTGCAGCATTAATTTGATGGAATTAAGTCCTCCATGTTCAATCACTTATAGGATACCTATCACAAGAAGGTTAGAAGAACCACTAACAAAACATCTGTCACTGTTAACAGGAATCTTATAACTAGCACAGCCTTTTAATTAAACAGCATCTGTATGTGCATTAAGTCAATACCTAGTTAATTTCCTGAACATAAGATCCTCAAAGTTCAGAGATTTTTTTTGGTACTGGGGATTGAACTCAGGGGTATTCAACAACTGAGCCACATTTCCAGCCATTTTACTTATTTTACTTAGAGATGGTCTCACTGAGTTGCTTAGTGCCTTGCAGTTGCTGAGGCTGGCTTTGAACTTGTGATCCTCCTGTTTACACCTCCTGGGCCACTGGGACTATAGGTGTGGGTCACGGTGCCCAGCTGTTCAGAGTTTTTTGATGGCTAAAAAGATACTGTTGGTACAGGGCCCAAGTCTAGCTTTTTGTTCATTCAGGTTTGGATTTTTATTTAGCAAGATGGGGGTGTTCTTTTTTTTTTTTTTTAAACTAGGGCTTAAATCCAGGGTCTTGCATATGCTAAGCAAATGCTATATCCCACTGAGCTATATCCCAACACCTCACCCTTTTTTCCATTTTATTTTGATACATTTTATTGCCTCTCTAAATTGCCGTGGCCAGCCTTGAACTTGCCATCCTCTTGCTTCAGCCTTCTGAGTAGCTAGAATTATCAGAGAGCATATTTTGTAGCTTCTCCATCTCATTCCAAGTCATGATGTCCTACACAGTGAGTCAGTCCTGTATATAATGACTTGAAAGTTAAAGCTGCATCAAGTGTGAGTTAATAGACTTCAGTGTTCACAAGAGGTTCTCACCTTTCAGACCTCTTAATGATTCACATCTCAAACAATATCTAACTTTATGATGGAGAGGCTTACAAAAAAAGAAACTTTTTCTTTTTTAGTTTTTAGTATTTAATGTCTTAACAGGTAAAAGTAAAGTAAAATGAGAATTCACCCAAACTGTATTGAGCAGTTACCTCCCAGGCTTTGTGTTAAGCTCTGGGAATTCAACAATGATCTAGACACAGTCCTCACACTCAAAAGAGGTGTGAGATTTTAACTCACGGTATATTTTGAAATGGCAGCTTTAAAAACCCATATTTGGTATTGATGCAACATTTGGAAACTTCTGAGAAAAAAATGTCAATTTCCCTCTTCTTTTCCAGAAGTTGTCAAGAAGAGCAGCTGCGAATCAATAGGCGTTTGAGACAGTTTAAATCCTGACTTACTATGTGACACAGGACCACAGGAGTTAGAACAAGTTACCTAATCTTTCTGAGTCCCATTCATCCTCACCTGCAGAATGTATAAAATCACAGGAATAGTAAATGAGCATATGTACATAACTGCTACTCAGAAAAAGAAAGCCATTATTTATTAGCATCATATTATAACTACAGTTTTCTTTCATCCCCTGTCAGTTATTGAGCCACTGATATAAACAAGGAGAATCTAAAATGTTTTTTACCTACGCCTACAACATGCTTTAGCAAACTTATACCGATACTCTTCCACTTATGATGGGGTTACACCCAGATAAAGTCATCATAAACTGAAAATATCTTAAACCAAAGATGCATTTGATATACATAACTTACTGAACATCAAAGCCTGGCAACAGTACACTGTAGGGTCTCTGTGGTTTACCCTCCTGACTAGGTGACTGCCTGACAGTGGGAGTTGCAGCTCCCCGCCTAAGCCCAGCATCCTAAGAGGGAATATTTCAAGCCCTGAGGGAAAAAAAAATCAAAATTCAAAATTTGAAGCCCAGTTCTTACTGAATGCAATATGTTTTCACACCATCGTGAAGTCAAAAAATCCTAATTTAAACCATCAGCAGTTGGGGGATTGTCTGTACAATTAATTTTAATTCATTCCCAGAGTCAAGCATTCCATGGGTGTAGTTAAGCTGATACAGGTGAACTGTCTTCAAAAGCCTATTCAGCTAGTAGGACTGGAGAATAAGGGTGAGGGAGCCAGTTTGGGTTCAGGGTTATTCCCTCACTCTAGGGCTGGGGGTAAGGATGGCCTTAGGCCTGAGCCTAAGCAACTCTTTTTTTGAGAGAGAGAGAATTTTTCTTTTTTAATATTTATTTTTTAGTTTTCGGCGGACACAACATCTTTGTTTGTATGTGGTGCTGAGGATCGAACCTGGGCCGCACGCATGCCAGGCGAGCGTGCTACCGCTTGAGCCACATCCCCAGCCCAGCAACTCCTTCTTAAAAACTCCAGTTTGAAACCTGCAGTCTCACCAGGCATGCCTAACGGAGCCCTCCAGTATGGTGCTTAGGCACAAACAAGTCACTTTTCCCCACCCTGACAATCCCAGAGTGAAGTCTCTAGCATGTTGTCCTTGCCCCATAAAGGGGAAAGGCAAGAAAATCAGGGTGGGAACCAACAGACCCAATGCTTTAACCCCAGGGTAAAGACATCACTGAGAGACCCAGTGGCAGCTGATAGGGGCTGAAAGGGTGGTCAAAGCCCCAAAATTTAGTATAAATGAAGGAGCAAATGAACAGACATTCAGCCAGTCGACACTGATGCACACAAGTCTGAGAGCCTCGTGAGGACCTAGACTGACATCCCAACTCTTCTCATCTGCCTGATCCTCTGTGTTACTCTCTCCGCTCTCATACTCTACAGCAGCCACTTGACTCTGGTGAGAAAAAGACTTCTCCCTATGACCACTTCCTCAGCCAGCCATCAGCTCCACCCCAGGAGAAACCTGCCTTGGTTCCTGATCTGATCACCACAGTCTGAGGGAGTGTGCATCTGCTGGACTTAGAGCCTAAGCCTTGAGACTTTTGAACTCACACTTGAGCTTAGCATGCAGAGGGAATGTCTGTCGTGAGCTTGTCATGATTAAGTGTGTTTGCGGCGCTTAGAATTAATGTATAATTGTTTGCTGTGAATTACATCTCTTTCAGTGTCTAGCACTAAGTATTGTTATTTTCTTGATTAAGAACCTATAGAGGGTCTGGGGTTGTGGCTCAGCGGTAGAGCGCTTGCCTAGCTCACGTGAGGCACTGGATTCAAAACTCAACATCACATAAAAATAAAGGTTATTGTGTCCACCTACAACTAAAAAAAACCCCACATATTAAAAAAAAAGAACCTATAGAGTGAAATTATATTGAATGATTTGAGTGAATAAAGCATTGACAAAGGCAGAAGCGCGGACATTCTTTATTTCTTCCCCTCGACTGCAAAAGTCACATCTTTTGCCACTGTGACATTGGGTCAAAAGTAACAGAACTGAGGACAGTCATCTTTTCCCACGAAGCTTTGAGAAGTGGAGCTGGGCAAAGGCAGGTGAGGAGAGGCATAGTTAGATTGGCAGAACCAGTCCTGGTGATGAGGAGGCAGCAGCTGCTGCAGCGCTCACCCCACCCCTTTCCCGTCTGCTGAGTAACCATCAGAATCATAAATATATAGCGATCCCTCAAAAAATCACCAACGTAGGTGACCTGCCTAAACTTTGTGGAAAACTTTGGTGTGTATGTGCATTTCTCTGGCGAAAGGGTCTATAGTTCTCATCAGATTCTCAAAGGAGTCCCTGAAAAAAGGACACATGCAGATATCGTCCAACTTCCTCATTTACTAGACGAAGAAACTGAGGCTCGGAGAGGAATAAGCAGTTGCCTTGAATCCAACAGAGGCATCAGAAGCGAAGGCATTTCGATTTTAATTCTGGCCTCGCAATCCTGGTCACAACTATGACCGATACCTCCTCGCTTCTCAGAAGGCCCTGAAAAGATCCCAGGAGGCAAGGGTTGCGGCCCGAGCCCAAGACTTTGCAGGCGATCCATACCCCGGCATTGAGGGGACTTGGCCAAACTCTCAGAAGGGTCTCTGTCAGCACGAAGGCTCCCGCACGCGGACCTCACCCTCGAGGAATCCCGTTGCCTTGGCGACTCCTAGTGAAGGACGAAGCACAAGGAGACCCCCGAGAAGTGGAGACGGCTTGGCCACTGGGAAGAGTTACGCCTACTCACTCACCTGACAGAAAAGAGGAAGCAGACACGCCCCAAGAGTCGGTCCCCAGCAAACCCACAGCACCGGAGTGGGAGCGAAAAGAATAACAGGAAATGACGCGAGCGCACGTGCTTCTGAGAGGGGCGGGGCGGGGCATGGAGAGACGCGTCCTCCACCGCGCGCCTGCGCGGCCAAGCCTACTGCGACGCCGAGTCACTGGGGTGGGAGGGGCATGAGTAGGAGGCGGGGCGCGTGCCGAATGACGCAGGCGCAATGCGACTCCGGAGGCGCGGGCCGCCCCTGCCGCGGGTTTGGATCCGGGTCAGTCAGGCGCGGCGGTCGGGGAGAGACGATCTGAACTGACGGGACCGGATTACCGGAGCGCCCCAGCTGCGAGGAGGTAAGTGCCCTGACGTGACGGGGAGGGGCCGAGGGACGGCGTGTCGGCCTCCAGGTCCTGCCCGGGCGCGGGCAGTTTCCTCTGGGTTCGCCCACCTCTCGTAGCGTCTTCTCCCGGCGCCGACTACTTGGGCCGGGCCTGAGCCTGCGCCTCTCGGCGCCGGCTATTCCGCGGCGGTCTGGATCTGCCGGAGCTCCGCGCTCTCGCCGCTTCCCGCCTTTCTGTCCTCCCGCCGTCTCCGCCCCGCTCCTTCGAGGTCTCCCGCCCAGCCTTAGCTTCCCCTTTTCGCCCTCCTGGGCCGCCCTTTGCCCCTTCCCGCCTTTTCCCGCTCTCCTCCGAGCCCGGTTCTCGTCGGCTGCGCCCCTCGGGTCCGCTTCCGTCTTCTCCCGCATCCCTAGCTCCTCGGCTCCGGTTCCGGCCTGGGAATTCTTCCGAGGGGGCAGCTTTTCGAGACACTTCTCCGAGACCCCCCGCCTCAGGTCGTGGCCTTTTCCTGATTCTGTTTAACCGCGACAGGCCCAGATTCTAGTTGGAACGAATTAACGTGGTGTTTTGGCTGTAGTCCTGCGATTGTTGGGTTGAGTGGTCGTGCAGAGAGAGATGTGTGATTTTTGTCTTTGGGGTCGATTGTCTCAACCCGGTGTTGTTTGCATCTATGAGGGTTGCTGAACAGTTAGGCTCCATGGTGGTCAGGAAAAGTTTCGAAATCTTTTAACATTGTGATGACACGCTTACGTGCGGATCCCTTTTTAATTGTTCTCGGGTCTTTTCAGGGTCCTAGAAATGGAGAATTAGGCTTGAAGTTTAAGGAGGTCTTGGTTAAAACGTAAAGATGGAAATCATGTGCATGCTGTTCGTCGAAAGAGAAAATCAGGAATTTTCTCTTTTGATGGAAGAACTTACACAAGAATTTTCTTTGTCATTTTTGAAAGATTGAGGGGAATTCTAGCAGAATTAAATTGTGGTGTGATTTGGCTTAAAACAATGCAAAATTATTTTTTAAATTTTTATTTTATTTTATTTTGGTACTTGGTATTGAACCTAGGGCCCTTTACCACTGAACTACATCCTCGGCCCTTTTTTTTTTTAATTTTGAGACGGGGTCTTGCTGATTTGCTTAGGGCCACCAATTTATGATCCTCCTGTCTTGGCCTTCTGAGTCGCTGGGAATGCAAAATGACTTTTGATAGGCCTTTCTTTACAAGTTTAATCTCTTTGGGGATTGTTCAGCTTCAAGAAAATACAGCAGTCTGCAGTGAAAATAGTCTCTCATAAATTTGATATTAATGAAGGTGGGCAAACCAATTATATTTGTTGCTTAAGTTAGTTGTACAACTTTTGGCTTTGAGTGAATGGAAACCTAGGAATACAGAGGAGCACAGAGTGAGCCTTTTGTGATTACAAGCAGCTCTGATCTCTCTCTTATGGTCATGCCTGAGATTCACCTTTGCTCTGGGTTAAAATAAATGAGAAAATAAACATAAGTAGTTGAAATACTGGAAGTCTGAACATAGTTTAAACAATACTTCATTCTTGAAGTTTTAGGCTGTAACCGAATTTTATTTTGGCCTATTTTGATTTTTAGATAATAGATCTTTTTTAGTATGTCAACAAGAATATTAACTAAATTTGTGTTAACACCTCGAGTGGTCACCTGCCTTGCTATTAAGTCAGCACTCTATAATTAAAAGTTACATATCTGGGTGCAAAGCTGCTCAGGCAGTGATGTATTTTAAGTTTCTGGAGGGCAGGAATGAGATTCCAGTCTTTACAGAAATGGAGTTCCCAGGGACCCTTCTATCCCTAGCCTTTGAGTCCCGTGCCAAGCATATACATGGTAGGAATTTTGGAAATATTGGTGGGAGGAATGAATTTCTGTCTGTAGAATCCAGCAGTGTATACTTACACATGATGTGTACTTTCTTCTTTATTTATTTAGACTGATTTATTTCCATAAGAACCCCAAGATTGTTTGTGTGAGGATCTTCTGGTTGGGGAGACTGGGTTCAGATGATTTATTAACTATGTACATGCTTACAGACAAAGCATTTGGTCATAAAGTAATCCAGAAGAACTATAAGTCAAATTTTAATTTAGTTCTGGCATCAGAAAAAATTTGTTTACAATCTTCTATAGCATCTTTTTAGATGCTGTAGAGTTTCACATATTTTAGAATATGTGATCTTTGCTTAGCCCTACCCCTAGATATTTAGGACTTTGTTATCTATTTATGGGGATCCTCCTCTAAATCAAGATGAATTAGAGACCAGTGAAATGTGAAATTGTATTGACAGTGTTTCCTTGTGTTTATGTATTGATTTAATAAGTCAGCCAAATATGTGTAAAGATTATATTTACATTTTCAGTCTTAAGAAGTTGAGGTGAAAGCTAGCTAATTCTTCTGAGACTGTTTTCAATTTTCCTCAAAGACATCTGCCTAAAATAGTTCAACTTCTACGCATAAATACATAAATAAATAGTAAATCATGATACCTTGCTGCTTTATTCTGCTACTGATACTACATGGTTAGGTTATATCAAACATTATGACACCTTGACCTTTGGAATATTAGAGGTCTCATAATAACATCAAACTCACCCCTGAGAAATGAGCAGATATGGGATCACAGAAGACTCAAGGATTCATAGGGAGGACACTACTCCTTCTGAGAGTGTCTGGGGTGAGGGGGGGTGGGGTGGGGGGATGGGGTCAGGGATACCAGATTAGAAATAAAGAGGTGAAGTACATTCTTTGCTTCAGAAATTCTCTATTTTTTGTTTTACTTTTTTTCTGTTTTTGTTTTTATGGTAACTGGGGATTCAACCCAGAGGTGTCCTTCCACTGAATGTGTCCCCAGCTCTTTAAAAAATTTTTTTATTTTGAGATAGAGTCTAATTGAATTGCCTTGGTTGGCCTCAAACTCGAGATTCTCCTATCTCTGCTTACTGAGTAGCTGGAATTACAGGCACACACTGTCAGTGCTGGCTGCCCCCCCACCACCATGCCCCCCTTTCTTTCTATCTGGATACTGGTTTGCTTAATTTTGGGTCAGGATTTGGTACTAATTTTCATCCTGGATGAAAAACTAATTTAGACACTCGATTAATTTATTAACAGAGTCTCTGTTGTGTTTCTTGTTGCTTTGGTTAATTCTTCATCCCCTTTGTTTAAATATAAAATTCAGGGCAAAAGAAATGGAGAACTTTGGTTAATCAAACTAGTTGATTAAAAAGAAGTCGTTTTTGCACATCTATAGAACAGCAATTTGTTTTTTACTTCCCATTTTTTCTCAAGAGTTCTTTTCCTTATTTTTTTTTTTTAGTTGCTAATTCATTTGTTTTTCTTGTTTCATGATTTCAGTATTCAAAGCTATTTTTAAAGAACAAAGAAGTTGAGTATGGAATAATCAATAATCATTGAAATAAATTTCTAATCCTGTTTTAACAATGGCAACAACAAGTTTCTAAAACTGTTTTTTTTTTTCTTCCTAAAACTGTTTTAACAAATGTCTCTCAGACATTTCCTCATGATGCATGTGGATACCTCGCTAAGGATTGTTTTAGAAAAAATACGATCAAGTGCCATGAAGTTTTATTTAACTAGAATTGTTAGGGTTAGACCAGATGAATGCCCAGTAGCATTTTAAAGAATCAGTGCTATAGTTTGAGCCTTTTTGATGTAAGGTCAGTGTGTTACAGGTTTCTAGGAATCTACAACTGGAGAGATTATTCTCCCCTTTTAAAAAGTGTACTGAAACATATCTGAGATGATCTAGTTTCTAAAACTGGTTAATAGGATTTTGGCATCAAGTATTTGGACAGTTTAAATTGTCATAATACATACACATTTTCTGCATTATTTCATTTGGTTTCTTCTTAAGAAATAGAACCCACAGTTTCCTGATCCATTTACACTGAAACTTCCTTTTAGAATTAATTTTTTTTCTCCCACAGTTATGGTATCAGAAATGTGTGTGTGTTTACATATGTATGCGTGTGTCTCCCCCCACACCCCTCAGTGTTGGGCGTTAAACCTGGGGCCTCAAGCATGCTAGACAAATGTTTTACCACTGAGCTGTGTCCCCATCCAAAGATAGAAAAGGGATCCTTTTGATCCCACCACTTTTACTTTGCTCATCTTATTTTTATTTTTTTTTTTAGTATTAACGGGAACATCCATAGTAGTGCAAAAACTTTCACAATGAAATCCGAAGCCAAGGATGGAGAGGAGGAGAGTCTACAAACTGCTTTCAAGAAATTAAGAGTGGATGCATCAGGGTAATTAAACCTAATATATTATTTACTAGATTTAAATAGTCCTTTCCCTTTAAAGAGCTTTTCCTTTTCCAACATTCATTATTATTTATAGAATATATCAGTAGTAATAGTATAACATTCTACCAAATTCCACACAGTATTGTTTTACTTCTAAAGTAAAGAATCTTATGTTAAATATGAAAAATATCAGCTCATTTGTGCTTTAGCATTGAGTGTTTTGATTTTCTTTAACTTTGAGGAGGCCCCCTTTATCAAGCAGATCCCATAAGAGATTATATCAGGGATACATCTCAAGGGAATCACAGTATTTTTCACTAAGTGTAATTGGCTCAATCGTAATCTATGAAGACATTGTTGATTTCATGGTCTTTGATTGCTGACTCTATCACTATGGAAACCTTTATTCAGTAGGGTTCTGTCACTGAGATCAATAATCTTGGACCCTTTGGCCAAACTAATTAGAGCACCTGCAGACCAGCTGCTCTCTGAATGTTAATATTTGACCCTTTGCAAAATGTTCTGTGCAAGTCTCCTTT